CTCCACCTCAGGCTTGTATAAAGTCAGCTTTGAAAATGTAGATCCTTCATTGTAAGATTTTGCTGCAAAATTGCAAAACTGTATAGAATGAACACCTTTGAGAAATCACCTTAAGCCCACTCTTCTAAAGGACACTAGAGCGCTCAACGCTCACGCATTGATGTCAAGTCTATTAATGTCTTGACACCAACCTCCATTGCTACACTCTCCAATCCCGATTGTCGACTTCTTGCAAAGTACTTCTTGACTCCTCCACTTGGAGTCAAACTCATGTTTCGGCTTTTTCTTAGAACCCAAGTTAATCTCAAACTCCTTTTCCTCATGGTCATACACCAACTTGAAGATAGAGCTTCACTTTGAATACAAATTCCTTTAGACCCCCGATACAAGTCATCTCCACACTTCTTCCCAACTAGGACCAAAATTCTACAACGATATACCGTGATAACTACTCAGTGCACTTGGGTTTGATAGCCCATAAATGTATGCACCCCAATATATATCACATTCTTCCGTACCTTTCCTTCGAGATTAACCTAACCAAACATTCTACAAGGCGATGATGCTCTCCCTTCTTCCCCCCGCCATAATCGTTCCTACACTCACGATGTTGCTCCTCATGCCATCCACGTTGTAGATAATTTCCTTGACTCTTTGCAGTAGGGAAATATATATGAGATGATCCTTTGACTAAAAATCTAAAAAAGGACATAGTCGAAAGGACGTCTGCTAGAATGGGTCTCAAAATTTTGTGAGTCTTAAAAATACTTACAATATTCGTCAAATTATTAGTTCAAAGCCTACGCTACTAATAATAAGATAACTGGTTCAAAAGTCAAGTAAGATTTGCAAAGTTTGGTGAGTCTTACAAATACTTACCATTTATATCAAGTTATTAGTTCAAAGCTTATGCTACTAATAACAAGATGATTGGTTCAAAAGTCAAGTAAGATTTGCAAGTGAACTTCTATCATGTAAAGAGGTTGGTTGTTAAGCCTTAATGAGTCCAAAGTATTTCGGATGAGGGATGTTGGATATGTAACATGCCTAAAGGACTCTGTATGTTGTCTAAAAATTACTGCAGATAGATGATCCCCATCAAATACCGATAATGGAAGTTATAATTTGATGGCTTCCATAAGGCTATAATTTAAAAACTTTTACGTAGATCGATGAAGGTTACAATCCGATGACCTTCACTACAACAGATGAAAGCTTTAATTCAATAGCCTTCACAATCAACATCGTGAGTTACAATCTGACGACTCTCATACGTTAAGGAGCCAAGGCGAAGATTATAAGATGACAATCTTTGCAACGCTCTAGCAAATGAGACTACAAATTGACAGTCTCTTCAATCTAAGATGCAGAGTTCATCTCTGCACCCCAGAAATGAAAACACAAGTCGCCTCGTTCCAGAGTCAAGGCAATGCAAACGCAGCTTCAATCCAGCTGCAAACGCAGTCTCAACCCAGCTGCAAACGCTGCTCCTAAACGCTGCCAAACACAACTCTTAAACGCTGCCAACGTAACTTTTAACTGCTGCAAACACAGCTTCCAAGCTGCCAACACAGCTTCCAAACTGCTACCAACGTAGATTCCAAAAGCTACCAACGTAATTTCCAAAAGCTACCAACGTAGCTTCCAGACGCTATAAACGCAGCTTCCAGACGCTATAAACGCAGCTTCCAGACGCTATAAACGTAGCTTCCAGACACCGTATCCGAGCCTCCAGATGCTTCAAACGCAGCTTTCAAATCGCTACAAATGCAGCTTCTAGATGTCGTGTCTGAGCCTCTAGACGTTACAAATGTAGCTTCCAAATTGCTATAAACGCAGCTTCCTGACGCTGCGTTCGAGCTTCCAAATGTTGCGTTCCAACGCAGAATTCATGCTAGAACGCGGATTTTACATTTGACTCGTTCAAACACGAGCTGAATGGTTTTAAAACTGTTTCCCACGATCTAGAGGGACCACAACTTAACTCAGGAGTGATTTAAGGGGCGGTTACATCCCATTAGCCCTACAAAGAAGCAATTTTAGGCGCGGTTACACCCCTTAATCGCCTATAAATAGCTAAAAGATCAGTTTAGTTTGGATCATTTTGATCTTTGAGCATTTTCAGATCTAGAGATCAGCAAAGGGCTGACTTTTTGGGACCAGGAGAGATCTCTTTGGCGGATCTTTTGGCTCTGGGCGTTCAGATCTTCTTTTTGGATCTGGAGATCAATCTGTTGGAGATCTTGGAGCTTTCTTCAGCAACAAAAAATCTTTGGGGATTTCCTACTTGGCGTTAAGACCGATTTTTAGTTCAAATCAACTATGCTACAGAGTTTCAACTCGTTCCGAGTTTTAAAACTCATTAAGAGTTATTCTTAAGATTTACTACACAAGTTTTATTGACTACAATCTAGCAAAGTGAAACATCGGATCGTCAACGAGAAGCAAAATCGACACTAACATCGAGAGAGGCATCTCATCGCTATCGTGAAGAACCTAGTTTTAAACAAAGGAGAGGATCTCCGACGATCATCTTCTCTTTTGTAAATCGGGATTCTGATTGAGAAGATTGTAATTTATTTTTCTAAGTTTGTTAGAGAGAAATTGTATTGAGAACATTGTAATCATTCTTTATCTAAATCAGTTAGAGAGAATAACACATTTTTGTTCTTTATTTTCTACTTTCGAATTTTCCCACCAAACAGACTCATCTAGAATCCTATCATGAGAGAGGATGGCTCTTAAGCCTTAATGAGTTCAAAGCATTTCGGATGCGGAGTGTTAGATAGGAAACACGCCTAAAGAACCCACCTAGAATCCTATCATGAGAGAGGATGACTCTTAAGCCTTAATGAGTTTAAAGCATTTCGCATGCGAGATGTTTGATAGGAAACATGTCTAAAGAACTCACCTATGTATGGGTGGAGATTTGGCCGTCTCTTATGTTGTCTTGTGGAAAGATACCTAGAGCCATAGCAGAAATCAGGACATGCATAAGGCCATAAATGTGCAAAGGCAAAGGCAAAGGCAAGTGTGGTTCAAAGTGAAAACTAGACTCACCTAGAATTCTATCATAGGAGAGGGTAGCTCTTAAGCCTTAATGAGTTCAAAGCATTTCGGATGCGGGATGTTTGATAGGAAACATGCCTAAAGAACTCACATATGCATGGGTGGAGATTTGACCGTCTCCTATGGTGTCTTGTGGAAAGATACCTAGAGCCCTAACAGAAACCAGGATATGCACATGGTCATAAACGTTCAAGGCAAATGCTAGTGTGGTTCAAAGTGAAAACTACCACAGATGAGTTTGATCTTGTGTGATCGCTAAATTTTAGACATGTGTTGGTTCAAGTCTCTACGACACCATGCATTTATCTTTTATTCAGGTTGTCTAAAGGAGATTCAAGTCCTTACGACATCTACCTTATACACAACGATTGAAACAACGGTACCATTACACAACACTAGTTTAAAAACTTGTGGGGAATTGTTGGATTTTTTGGTCAAAACCGCTTTCCAAAATGAGTTTTCAAACTATATATATTAACCACAAGTACTTTTCATAAATACTTAGTAGCCTAGTAGAAAGTTAAAGTTTTGGTGTTTTAAAAGGTCTTCTGTTTGAGGTTTGCTAACGGTAAGCCGAGAAGTATCTAATTTTAGTTAATCCCTCATAAGTTCTAGTGGGTCGTGGGTCATGGGCCGTGGGCTTGTGGTTCGTGGGCCAATGGGTTGGGAATCGAGGCTAATCGGGTGGAGGCGCTAAGTAGCGTTTTGTTAGGCGCAGTTTGCACTTCGCACAGATGTATCAGGGCGAGGTGGCAACACGTTGGTTGCCACGAAGGTTGCCTCGCAGGCTACTTCGCAGCATGTGGACGAGCTACGTATTTCCACGAGAGTGTGACCCTAGCGTTCTCGCAATCAGACGAGGTTCGTCAATTGGTTGACGAAGTTCGCCTGTCTGACGAGGTTCGTTCGTTTGACGAGGTTCGCCTGTCTGACGAGATTCGCCTTTTTGACGAGGTTCGCTCGTTCGACGAGGTTCGCCTGTCTGACGAGGTTCGCCCGTTCGACGAGGTTCGCTTGTCTGGCGAGGTTCGCTTGTTCAACGAGGTTCGCCTGTTTGACAAGATTTGCTCGTTCGACGAGGTTCGCCTGTTTGATAAGGTTTGCCCGTTCGACGAGGTTCGCTTGTTTGATGAGGTTCGTCCTACAGATGAGGCTCGTCTGATTTGCTGAGACGTGACCCTCACGTTTCGTAGTAATGCGTCCATTGATTGCCTCGTATTCAGGAGTTACTGTATTTAGCAGTTACAACAGCATTTACATCAATTTAATGGATTGTTGTTAGAATCATAATTGCCATTATGATTTGTAATAGCCACATTAATTGAGGGTGACTCTTGAGCTGGCCTTAGAGGCCTATAAATAGCACCCCTTGGACAGCTCTTGGTGCGAACTTAGAAAACGAACGTCGGATCGAGGAGATATTGACGTTGTTGCTGTTGTTGTACTACTGCTGCAGAAACTGTGCCTAAAGAAACTTTCCCTGAAACCGAAAGGTTTTGAACCAAAAGGTTCCAAGATCGAGGAGATCTTTGCATTGACCGAAAGGTCTTATAGATCGAGGAGATCTTAATAACAGTACTGGGTTGGTGCACACCAAGTACTGTACTGTTGTTCCTGGAAGCAGTTTGGCCTTGGGATCCTTGTACCGGAGTAGGCCAAATATTTTTTTAAGCACAATGTTTACAAACCCATAGCAGTTAACTTGAAAATTTTTAAAATTACAGCACATCAAAATTTCTCTGTTTTATTCTAGATTTAACCATAATCTCCAACAATTTATAGCATTGGTTTAGGGGAGGTAAACACTATTAGAGTTAGGTGATTATTGTAGCTAGATAGGTGGGGAAGAAAGCTGCTGACTTCAACATAAGATGTGTGTACTCTATATGTACTTACCCCAATTAACGTTCCCTTTGTCCAACCCCCTAAATCAATGGATCCTCAAGCCCCTCTCCTCCTCCTCCTCCTCCTCCCATTCTCCCTCCTCCTCCTCTTGCTTCTCAAAACCAACATCAAAAGGAACCACCAAAACCTCCCACCAGGCCCACGAAGACTCCCCATCATCGGCAACCTCCACCAACTCGGCCTCTCCCCTTACCACTCCCTCCACACCCTCTCCGTCAAACACGGCCCCCTCGTCTTCCTCCAACTGGGCTCTGTACCCGCCCTCATCGTCTCCTCCTCCTCCGCTGCCCAGCAAATCATCAAGTCCCACGACGCCGCTTTCTCAAACCGACCCCACTTCCAGGCCGCCTACAAGCTCACCTACGGAGGCATCGACATCACCACTTCGCCCTACGGCAACTACTGGAAGCAACTCCGCAAAGTCTGCATCAACGAACTCCTCAGCCTCAAATGCGTCGAGTCCTTTCGCACCCTGAGAGAAGACGAAGTCTCGAGACTCATCGATCGTATCAAAAACTCCTCTTCTTCGTCTTCGACTATGATCAATCTGACTAAAGTGATGCTTAATTTTGGGAATAATTTCGTCTGCAGGATTATGTTTGGAGATAAGTTTAGGGAGAGGGAGAGTAGGTTTGATGAGATAATATCGGAGACAAAGGGGTTGGTGGAGGAGTTTTGGGTGTCGGATTTTTTGCCCGGGTTGAAGTGGGTGAATGAGGTTAGGGGGGATAAAAAGAGGTTGGAGAAGAATTTTAAAGAGTTTGATGGTTTTTTTGATGAGATGATCAAAGAGCATGTTAGCGTCGACGGTGATGAGCATGAGGATTTGCTTCATATTTTGCTTCGGCTTCAGAAGGATCCTAGCTATAGCGCATCATTCACAAGCATTACTAACGTGAAGAGCCTCATGCTAGTAAGTAGCCTATCACGCACCTCATAGAATTATGAAGAGTTAAAGAATAATGAATTTAGTTAGTTCAATGTTCTCATATGATGGATTTACTACTGTTATTACTATTACGCTAAAAGATCAATTCGGACTATAGCCTCGTACTCAAATTGATCCTCTCACTTTTTTTTTTCCCCTCAACTTAGTTATTGTCCCCCTAGTTAAATATAAACTTAGTCCTATTTTATCTCTTTGTTAAAGATTCTGTTAAGTACAAGTTAAAAAGACAATTCTACCCTAACTCCAATTTGTTCCCTAAAAAAGAAGCAGAATTAGATACTATTTGTCAAAAGTAGTGTTGTTAATCACGAGAGAAACATAGAACGTACCTGTTTTGATTTGATGATGAAAAGGAATTGGGATTGCCTTCGTTCTCATTGCGCCTTACCTTATTTGATTCGATGTTCCAACGACTAGATGGAGAAACTAACAGTTGATGAGGTCCATCATCTTACAATGTGCAGCTCGGAACTCTTCCAGTCTGAAATAACTTTCAAGTTTCTGCACATGAAGTTTTGATTGTGAATTCCTTGTTTTATAAATATAAAAAATAAGTAAATAACTACTCTCAGTTTTAGCTTCGTTGGGAAAAAAAAAGCTTCAGATAAGGGGTCATATCTAATTTATTCAAACAAATCATTTTTAAAATTTTCACAATCTTGAATGAGGTAAGGCTGCTCTTTTAGAGCAGTACACAATTTTTTGCAAGTTTTTTTTATTTTATTGTATCGGTGTATTTATCGTCTCTTCTGATGCCCTCTCGATCCAGCATACCATGAAGTCCAATATAAACAACTTTTAAATAATATCATTGAGGGTAATGTAGTCATACACAAATAAATAGTCTCTTTTAATATTTACTCAAATAATTATAATTTATACTAACTCCCAAAACAATATATATATATATATATATATATATATATATATAATAATATAATATAAATTATATATATAAATTAGATATGAGATATAAGGTCCTTGGTCATAGGAGGTTGTAGGGCGTCAAGGAGAAATCGCCCCCTAGACAAGGATACCTAGTAATCCTATATACCATCCAAGGTCAATTAACAATGTGGGTTGGCTTGACTGAGACATTTAGGTGGCATGCGATTACCACGCCTTCGACCACCCCGTCATGGTGGCGCCTGGCTCAGCCTGGAGGGATTGCCTGACTCGCCCAATAATGTACCTGCGGTTCACGAGTTGGGCCGGGTCTAACCCAAACCAGGGGTTAGAGAAGTAGACTCGGCCTATGCCCGTATCGCCCCGGCCCTACCCGTTCCAACCCATGATATATTTTTTGGTTAGTCTAGTTATTCTTTTAGCCCTTTGGGTCTGCCGCTAGCTGTTAACAAAGCCAAAAGACCATAGGTCTTTGACTCTTGGGTATTTTGGCCTATTGAGAAACAAAGCAGCAATCTTTAAACTCGTTGTTGTCTACTTGGAATGATTAAAAAGTTTAATACAAGTTTAAAAATAGTTTAATACAAGCTTAAATTACTAAATAAATAAATTAGAAATAATTTTATAATTATAAATACAAATTTTATATAATTAAAAAGGTAAAAAAGGGAGGGTGGGGAGTTGGATGAAAAACTCATGGGTCGGCCCACATCCCACGGGCCGTGGGCCAGGTCAGGCCTAGCTCGCACCTAGGTGGGTCGTGGACCGAGTTAGGTCCAAACGCAGACCCTGGATCAAAGAAATAGGCCCGACCCACTCTAACACAGTCGGGCCTGGGTTAGGTCGGGCCTGGCATTAAACCCAGCAAGTCTGGTCACAGGCTGAACTGACCCGGCCCACGCCCACCTCTAGACTAGACGTCTTTGTTGTTTTGTTTATATAGGTCAAATATGTATGTATGTACATCTGTGATGTAGCGTGGAAGTAAAAAAAAAACTCAGAATCCACCATGGGACGTTCTTTGAATTCACAAAGAGCGATCTTCGAATTCACAAAGAGACAACGTCAAATCCATGAAGTAATTTAAAACAAATTTTATTGAAGAAAAATTATACCTCTAGGACTTTCAATCCTATATTTAAATAAAAAAACAAACTAGACTCTTACCATGACCTAAATGATACTAAAAATAGAAATAACAAAACTATCTTTAAAAGACACACCGTGATTGAAAAAAATAAATTAGTTAAATTTAGAATCAAACCAGATTTATTTCCTTATCAAAATAGAATTTTAAAACATTACCCAAACTAGTAAATAACTGACAAAAAGTCTAATATCTCTCAATCCGGAGTAAATTTCAAAAAAGAGACCTCCTTTTCGAAAAAAAATACGCTATTTTTAGAGCGACGTGCGGTTTGGGGGATCGGCCCGTTCTTCGTTGCAAGTCAATTTCTTTTGTCAGACCCTTGTTTAGACTTCTAACGATCCAGTTTCTCCATAAATGCTTCCACAACATGTTCTATATCTATATCAATCTCTCTTTCTATATATAATAAATTAAGAGAACTGCATTCGTTTGACACAATTTGCTGACTTGAAAATAATCTAAAAGTGATGAAATTGATTATTCTTATTTTATCTCAGGACATATTCATCGGAGGCAGCGATTCATCTTCTGAAATCATAGTATGGACCATGGCTGAGCTAATGAGGAACGTTAGAGTCATGTCGAAACTCCAAAAGGAAATTCAACAAGTTGTCGGAAGTAAAAGCAAGGTAGAAGAAAGTGATCTTCAGAGCCTCAACTATTTAAAACTAGTGATCAAGGAAACCCTGAGGTTACATCCTCCCGGTCCATTCCTGGTTCCTCGAGAGACTATCGAACCCTGCAATATTGAAGAATACGATATACCTTCCAAAACTATGGTTTTCATCAATGCGAAAGCTTTAGCCATGGATCCAAAGAGTTGGAAGAACCCTCATGAGTTTTGGCCTGAGAGGTTCTTAGAGAATGATAGAGATTATAAACCCACGCAATATTTTGATTACATGCCGTTTGGATTTGGGAGAAGAGGCTGCCCTGGGGTCAACTTTGCGTTAGCGATAATGGATCTTACCTTGGCTAATCTCTTGCATTCCTTTGATTGGGAGCCGCCCTTTGGGATGAAAGTAGAAGATATGGATTTTGGAGAGGTTTTTTCGCTGGCTACTTGTATGAAGAACAATTTGTGCTTAGTTGCTAAAGCAAAGTGATTGCCTATATAAAATGCAGTGATTATCAACATATGTAGTTTATATTTTTAATGATTGATGTGTGTATGAGTTATATGTTGGAATGGTATTAATTAAGCTTATTTTGTGATATTTGGCATTTCATATTTGACTAAACTTCGCATGCAATAAGGATGGTCTTGTTAACAAGTTTCTGTTGGGATTTTGTCTTTGATTCTTTGTGTAACTTCATGAGAATTAGATAGGGTTAGAGTTCTATCATGATTAGGAGTTTGAGTTCTATCATGATTAGAAGTTTGGGTTTTATCATGATTAGGAGTTTGAATCCTATTCTAATTAGGAAGTTAGGTTAGAGATAGGGTTTTGGTTTCCCTATATATATTCTTCTATTGGTGGAGGAAAAACCATGAAGAAAAAGTAGAGATGTAGTAGATGAGAGAGAGAGAGAGGGTATCGTAGTCTTTATCCGTGCAAAAGATTACAATGAGTGGGCTTTGGAGAGAATATGAGAGTTGATTATGTATGTGAGGTTGAGAGATTGAGAGACGAGAGTTGAGTGGTTCCTCTTGTAGTTCTCCCTGATACATAGTGAATTTCTCGTATTGTTGCCCCGTGGACGTAGGTCGAAGTTGGTCGACCGAACCACGTAAATCTCGGTGTTCTTTTTTTCTTGATTGTGGTTGTTCTATCTTATTGATTGGGGTTGGCTTCCGAGTTACGCATATCGTGGTAGGCGAGGAGACTGAAATTCCCCAACAAGTGGTATCAGAGCGATGGTGATGGATCCGGGAACGAGTTTGCAAGATAGAAGACGATGCCGTGCAAGATTAAAAATCGGCGTTACAAGAATCAAGATGGAAAAAAGAAAAAAAAAAGGGAAAGGTTACTGTAAGCAGAACACTGTAGCGGCGGGTACTGTTCACGTGGGGATCCGACGGTCCAGATTGATTTGTTAGCCGATTGAGGATTTGGAGGCGGATTTTGGTGATCCAGAAGTCGTTCCTAGGGTTTTTCGACGTGCTAAGTTCGTTTTTGGTATCAATTTCATCAAATTCAAATTCTATGGTGACTGGTTTGAATTTTGATTAGAAAATGATGACTTCTTCGGGTCCGAAGTTTGATATTCCGCTATTTAACGGCAAGACAAATCTGATGGTAGATAAGGAGCAGGAGTTGGTTGGTGTGTATACTTGAGGAGGACAGTACCAGATTAGGTGGAGCTTGCAAGCAAGCATGACCGAGTGACACACATGGAGATAAAGATGGTGGCGTTGGACTTGAAGATGGTGAGCGCTCATATTCAATCCAAGCCAAGTGATAGAGGAGATAAAGGCATCCAGCTCGTAGTGTGAAGTAGGAGAGGTGCACCGATATGATTCGAGACGAGCGATGCAGGTGGAGCACAAGGACAACAAGAGAGGTGGAGGCGTCACGGCGAAGCAGAAGATAGTGAGGATCATGAAGGCATCTAATTGAGAGTGCAGGTGTTCTGATTTGAAGTGCGAAAAAAATAGAAGACTCTAGCGAGAGAGGCAAAGTTTCAAGACGATGATGGTATATCTTCAAGGGAGTTTGGGAATCAAATCTAATGTGGAGATTGTTGGGATTTTGTCTTTGATTCTTTGTGTAACTTCATGAGAATTAGATAGGGTTAGAGTTCTATCATGATTAGGAGTTTGAGTTTTATCATGATTAGGAGTTTGAATCTTATTCTAATTAGGAGGTTAGGCTAGAGATAGGGTTTTGGTTTTCCTATATATATTCTTCTATTGGTGGAGGAAAAACCATGAAGAAAAAGTAGAGATGTAGTAGATGAGAGAGAGAGAGGGTTTCATAGTCTTTATCCATGCAAAAGATTACAATGAGTGGGCTTTGGAGAGAATATGAGAGTTGATTATGTATGTGAGGTTGAGAGATTGAAAGACGAGAGTTGAGTGGTTCATCTTGTAGTTCTCCCTGATACATAGTGAATTTCTCGTATTGTTGCCCCGTGGACGTAGGTCGAAGTTGGTCGACCGAACCACGTAAATCTCGGTGTTCTTTTTTTCTTGATTGTGGTTGTTCTATCTTATTGATTGGGGTTGGCTTTCGAGTTGCGCATATCGTGGTAAGCGGGGAGACTGAAATTCCCCAACAGTTTTGTCATGGCTTGAAGCAAAGTTTAGTCCCCCATGAGATTTTGCACATATTATTTCAGCGAAGATGACAGTTGGGAAAGAACAAAACTGTTGGTTTTCTTTTCATTTTGAGATTACGAGAAAATTGACTGGCAAGATGCCTCAGTATTAACGTGAAAAAGGTCGAGAAAAATATTGAAATATTAGTGCAAGTAATCGATTTGGATGAAACTAAAGAGAAGATGCATAATTTGTCCACTTAGCTTATGTACAATCACATTTTATTGCTAATTAGGCAAAGTCAATATTTTTCTGTTTTATACTCGTTCAAATCAATTATCAAATTATAGTTTAAAGGGTTATTTAAATTCAACCATATTATCAAACTGCCCAAAATATACCAAGTAGATTTAGAATGGTGTGTTATATGAATGTGAAGGGCATCAATTATGGATACAACTATACAAAAGATGTACCCTGAAAATTACCAAGACCAGCAAGAGCGGCCACACGATAGCTAACTGGCCGACTCTTAAGGCACTCGCAAGCACGACCTGGGTGATATGCTAGCCGACTTTCCTCACGATACAAATCCGAGATGAAAGGTGATTCTGACACAGGTCCTGCTAGATGTCCAACTCCAAGACAAAGGCGTTCTCCACTCGGACCCGACACAAGGCATCTCGAATAGTGGACAGCCTAACAAGCATCATCAAAAGTTATGTGGCACAGTCTACCTCTACACTTTGCCGCCAATCACCAACAAGCAATTAATGCAATGTCAGTCATTATGACCTTTCGAGCAAAGCATTCAAAGCTCCTCGAATTACTCCAACAATCCCATTACTGTGCAAAGACGACTCAGCCAATCAGCTGCCGGTACGTGTAAAGTAGGGTATGAACCAATACTTCACACACTCAGCTGAAATTACCTACGTGCCTTCGTAAACCCTCTATAAATAAAGATTATTTCTACTAAACCAAGGTAAGCAATTTTACACATAAAAAGTCAAAAAATTATACTATGTTTTCCTCTTCAAATTAACTAGAAACAGTCATTGACTTGAGTGTTGGATGGTATGCCAGAGAAAATAATCATCGGTGTCTCTAACTTCTATTATCTGTGTAGCAACATACAGCTCAAAAGACCTAAGACGGGAGAATCAACAATCAAAAGCGATAAGGGACCCCAAAAACTAAAGTTAATCCTCCCAAATCAAGTATCAACTTTGTAACGTAAACAGTTTGGCGCCCACCATGGGGCCTCTTCTTCTCCTCTTGAAGAAATAGTTGATCTCCAATTTTCAGACCTTGAAACCAGAAGCTGCCACCATCGCTCAATGCCATGGCAGCAAAAGAATTCAGCCAAAAGACAAACACAGAACAAAAGCTGAGTAAACATTAGGGTTGTCATAAAATGTAAAATATTTCAGAGAATGTCTCTACAAAATATTTTGCTGTTCAATCTTTATCGACTCGGCAAAGAAGACCATGACTCGGCAAAAAAGACCAAAGACTTTGATATCTTTTTAGAGTAAAACCAAGACACGAACCAAGTCCTTGGTATCATCCTTATGAGTAAAACCAAGGCATGAAGCCATTGCCGCTCGATCTTCATCAACTCGGCAATAGAGACAAAAGCCCTTCGTGTCTTTTTAGAGTAAAAGCAAGGCACGAACCAAGCCCTTAGTATTATTCTTATGAATAAAACTAAGACGTAAAGCTCTTGCTGCTCGATCTTCATCGACTTGGCAATAGAGACCAAAGACCTTGATGTCCTTTCAGAGTAAAATCATGGCCAGAACAAAGCCATTGGTATCGTTCTCGTGAGTAAAACCAAGACACGAAGCTCTTGCCACTTCAAAGCCCTTGGTGCCTTTTGAGAGTAAAAGCAAGGCACATAGCAAGCCCATGATATCGTTCTCATGAGTAAAAGTAACTCACGCAGCTCTTTGCTTAATCTTCATCGGCTCAGCAACACAGACCAAAGTCCTTGGTGTCTTTTCAAGATAAAACCAAGTCACATACCAAGCCTCGGATATCATTCTCATGAGTAAAACTAAGGCATGAACCTCTTGCTGCTCTATCTTCATCGACTCGGCAACAAAGATTAAATCTCTTAGTGTCTTTTTAGGGTAAATCCAAGGCATGTATCAAACCATTGGTATCGTTCTCATGTTAAAACCAAGGCACGAAACTCTTATTGCTCGATCTTCATCGACTCAACAACAGAGACCAAAACCATTAGTGTCTTTTCAGAGTAAAACCAAGCCATGTACCAAGCCCTTGGTGTTGTTCTCACGAGCAAAACTAGGGCATGAAGCTCTTTCTGCTCGATCTTCATCGACTCAGCAACAGAGTCCAAAGCCTTTGGTGTCTTTTTTAAAACCAAAGCACGTACCTAGCCCTTGGCATCGTTCTCACAAGCAAAAGTAAGGCACAAAGTTCTTTCCACTCGATCTTTATCGATCTAGCAATAGAGATCAAAGCCATTGGTATTATTCTCATGAGTAAAACCAAGGTACGAAGCTCTTGCTGCTTGATCTTTATTGACTCGGCAGCAGAGACCAAAGTCCTTGGTGTCTTTTTAAGGTAAAACCAAGGCACATACCAAGCCCTTGGCATCATTCTCATGAGAAAAATTAAGGCACGAAGCTCTTGCCACTCAATCTTCATCTACCTAGCAATAGAGACCAAATGATACGAGTTGACGTGCGAGCACCTTTGATCGTGGAATTATCAAAGGTGGGTTGAGAAGAGGATGACAGAAACACAAGAATGATTCAGTATGTGGCGAAGGAAAATACTCCCTCTAGATTATGAGTATAGAAAGATTACAATCCCTCTCTCACAATCTCACTAGAATCAGGAACAAACTCTCAATTCTCTCTAAACCATAATCTCTCTTGATTAGAATCTCTCTTTGATTATATCTGATTGTTTTAAAACCCTAAACCAACCCTTTATATAGGTGTGACAGCGTAGATGGCAAAGTGGTAAATAACC